TACGCCGTCGCCGGCGACTCATGGCAGCCCAGCTCCAGGTTGAGCTGTTGTTCAGCATTGCTGACCTCTTCTGATTCTGGTGGCTGCCGGGCTCCTTCGCTTGTAGCTGCATCACTGCAATCTTCACGGCCAGCATCTTCACATCTGTCTCTGCTCTGTCTTCACACAGCCTTCTTCTCTGTGCGTAAAAGTGCCCTCTGTCCCTCTCTTACAAGAATGTGTGTGATTGCAGTTAGGGTCTGCATGTGCTTAGGAGGAGATCCACCGTCCCCTGCTGCTTGAGTCCCCGCCCCCCCCCCACACACATCTGTTTCTCCATCTCAAGACATCTCCAAGTTGCAGACCATTAGGTTCTAGATCCATTTGCCAAAAGCCAATCCTCAGGGGGAATAAAAAATATGCTGTTTTGCAGCAACAATATAGTTTAGGACAATTTGTATTGAAGAGGTTGGCCTTCACAGCTTTGGAAGACTTAGGAGGCATTTTGGTTGATTGGTCATCATTTTGTCTTTGTAAGAGCATTTTCCAGAGTGGTCCATTTGCCTCTGCAACCTTAGGAGCTGGACAGAGAGGGATCCTTGACTAAAAGAGGGACAGGGAAGAGAGTCAGCTGTGTCACAGCCAGGACTATGCTCCCAGAGGGCGAGGAGTCTAGAGGCAGAGAAGGGGAGACAGAGAATCTCCTTATAAATTAACATCTTCTTACTCCATAATCTGTTCAAGAATACATTTAAGGACATAGTCATACATTCTTGTAAATGTATTAATGAAGAATCTATTGTCACCATATTGTGAAGAACATATTCATGAAAATATACTTGAACATAGTTAATATCTTGAATATTGTGGCTAGGTCCTTCATGTTAATGGAAAGACAGTCATGGGGAATCTACTTTCCGGGTAGATATCCTGCTGTCTCCCCCACTCTGTGGGCAGTACGGGCAGAGACTAATGGGATATTCCTTGAAATGCTGTTGTGAATTGACTCTTGATGAATTGGCTTTCAACAAATGAGTGTTCAGCTTACTAGCTGCCTGGGGGAAATCTCCATGTCAAGTCCTTGAAGCAGGGCCAAATTACCTCCTCATTTCACATTCCCTGTCTGTGCGACAGCACCGTTGGTTATGCTCTTGTGCACATCAGAGCCATGGTCATCAGCCTGGTCCTTCATTGCTCTGTTCTCCATAGGACACCAGGCCCCAGACATTCCATGTCTCCAGTGCTCTCCAGCACCTTTCCTCTTCTCCACTGTCACTGGTCCTGGCTTGGGTCAAGCCTTTCTTGGCTCTTCCCTAAAGGACAGTGCTAGAAGCCACCTGACATCTGTTCTTCTGGCCTGTCCTTCCTGGTGCGAAAATGAGTAACCTCAAAGTTTTTTTTAACTTACGAAACATTCCAAACCCAGGGAAAATGTAGACAATAACATGATCAACACTGTATACATACTCCTTAGCTTTCTCAAATCTTATTTTTGCTTCAAATATAATTTTTTAAAGAAATAAAACTTCAGGGCCGGCCGAGTGGTGCGATGGTTAAGAACTGACTTGGGACGCCCAGAGGGGCCCCGTTCGGATCCCACATATGAGGGCCAGTGACACTGCCCTCCACAGCTAAGATGCTGAACAACAGCTCAACCTGGAGCTGGGCTGCTGTGGGCTACCGTATGTAGCCAGCAACTGAGTGAGCATCCGTCCAGAAGC